AGAAAAATATCCTCAGGTGAGGATTAAACACACACACACACACACACACACACACACACAATAGTATAAAAACGTCACCTGGGTTCATTTGCTTCTAAATAGGTTTACCATTTTATAAATTCATTTTAACTCCCCATTTAATATAACTTTTAACTGCAGCATTCTTAGAATAACTGCAAGTGTGATACAAGGCAATAGGTGATCACTACCATAGGAACCCAGAGACAAGATAAATTCCTACTGGAAAACTAAGGACATTTATTAGAGATAACATTTTAGCTAGACCTCAAATGTCCTGGTGTAGTGGGCAGAGTGGACAGCGTTAGAGAGAGGGAATGGGAGTTAGGAGAAAAAAACCTAGGCATGATCAATAGGTAGAAAAATACACCATTTGTACAGAAACTAGAAACATCTTTGCTAAAGCATGAACAGGAGCATAGGGCAAATAGGTTGGAAATGAAGTCTGGACAGGTGGAGGTAGTCCGTGAAATACCTTGAAAGTCTTAGCAAGAATTTTGGATTTCCCCTATAGATAAAAAGATTATCTAATTTTTAATTACTAAAAAAAAATATTCCTTGATTTTTTATTGAGATTCTTTTTAGGAAATATTTCAAAATCTCATCTGATGGTCCTTATACAGTAAGAAAGATCCCCAAAATTATAAACTGGTAAGAAACTCAACATAAAACTTGATGCTTAGAAATAATAAGTACAATGTTCTTTCATCCATGCCTTATTTCCAAATGAGTTGACAATCATTTATTGACTCAGCAAAATTTTCTGAGTGTTTATCATAGGCTACTAATCTACTGAATACAGGAAATGCAAAATGTTTGTCTTTTAGGAGCTAGTAGTCTACAGGGAAAAACATGTATACAAATAATTGAATAAAATTGGTAAGAGAGACTTCCGGTCAAGATGGCGGCGTAGGTAAACGTGGTATCACATCCTCCTAAAACCACATCAAAGTTACAACTAAACTACAGAACAACCATCATTCAGAACTGTCTGCAATCAAGCTGAATTAAAGTCCTACAACTACGGAATTAAAGCAGCAGCTACATCCAGACTGGTAGGAGGGCGGAGGCGGTCAGGCTGGTCCCACACCCACGTGTGGCGGATAAAAATCAGGAGGACACCTCGGCTGGGAAGGTCCTCCCTGAGGACTGAGGGGTCCCCGTCCCACACCAGTAACCCGGTTCAGGGTTCCAGTGCCAGGAAGAGAATCCCCATAACTTCTGGCTGGAAAAACCAGCGGGAACTGAGGCTCAGGGAGGCTGAAGCGGCTGGAGCCCCAGGCAGCTCATTAAAGGGCCCGCACACAGACTTACCAGACTCTCTCCCTCTAAGCTTGGAGGGGAGGCAGCTCAAGGGGCGCCAGAGACATACAGGGAAGAACTGAGCCGTTTGGCACTGGAGCGAGGGCTGGAGAGGGGGCTGTCTCCCAGACAGACATGCTGTCAGAGGCCTTTGTTCCTTTGGTGAGCCCTTCCCTGGGGCAGCAGACAGCCACCATATCTGGGACTCCAGCAACTTGGCTCACACTGGTAGCCCCGCCCTGGTGACTCCCTGAGGCCCGGCCATGCCCCACCCAACTTTCAGGCCCACCCAAGCTGTTGCCAGTTGCTTAACCATAGGATTAGCCTGTCTTGGATCCTGCTTCAGGTTTTCCTAAATTCTTTCAAACAAGCAGCATCTGGTCTCAGATAGCCCCATACCTCTCAAGTAATACATAGAAACAAAAACGGGGAGGCAGCTAAAATGAGGAGACAAAGAAACAGGTCCCAGATGAAAGTACAGAAAAAATCTCCAGGAAAAGAACTAAGCGAAATGGAGATAAGCAACCTAACAGATACTGAATTCAAAATACTGCTTATAAGGATGCTCAATGAACTTAGAACCTCAGCAAACTCAGTGAGGGCCTCAAGTGCATAAAAAAGGAGCAGTCAGAAATGAAGGAGGCACTAACTGAAATAAAGAATAATTTACACAGATTCAATAGTAGAGTAGGTAGAGCCAAGAAGCAAACCATCGATTTGGAATATAAGGAAGCAAAAAATACCCAATCAGAACAGCAAAAAGAAAAAAAAAAAATAAGGATAATGTAAGGAGCCTCTGGAACAACTTTAAGCGTGCCAACATTCGCATCTTGGGGAATACCAGAAGGGGAAGAGACAGAACAAGAAATAGAAAACCTGTTTGAAACAATAATGGCAGAAAACTTCCCTGACTTGGTGAAGGAAACAGACATACAAGTCCAGGAAGCACAGAGTCCCAAACAAGATGAACCACAAGAGGCCCACACCAAGACACATCATCAAAATGCAAAAGGTTCAAGACAAAGAGAGAATCTTAAAAGCAGCAAGCGAAAAGCAGTTAGTTACCTACAAGAGAGTTCCCATAAGACTGTCAGCTGATTTCTCAAAAGAAACTTTGCAGGCCAGAAGGGAGTGGCAACAAATATCCAGTGATGAAAAGCAAGAACCTACAAACAAGATTACTCTATCCTGCAAAGCTGTCATTTAGAATCACTGGCCATATAAAGACTTTCCCAGACAAGAAAAAGCTAAAGGAGTTCATCACCACCAAACCGTTATTATATGAAATGTTGAAGGGTCTTTTTGAAGAAAAAGATAAACTATGTGAACAAACAAAATGGCAATGATTACATATCTATCAACAATGGAATCTACAAACAAAATGAACAGGCAGAACAGAAACATTCTCATAGATACAGAGAACATTTTGTTGGTTGCCAGATGGAAGTGGGGTTGGGGGAATGGGTGAAAAAGGTGAAGGGATTAAGAAGTACAAATTGGTTGCTAGACTGACAAACCTCAAAGGGAAGGGGGTTAGGAGGTGGAAAGAAATTAACCAAAGAAATTATATGCATAACCAATGGACACAGACAACAGTGTGGGAAAAGGCGGGAGGGAGGTGGGAGTGGTTAGGAGGGGGTCAATGGGGAAAAAATGAGGAACATCTGTAATACATTCAACAATAAAGATTTTTAAAAAAGGAAAAAAAAAGATAAAATAAAATTGGTAAGAGAAATAGAAACAAATCATTATGGGGCAACAGGAGCGGTAATGAATTATTCTGTTTAAGCAAGTGTTGGGAGATGACATTTGAGCCACATTTTGAAAAAAATAAAGTTGATAAGAAGTAGTGAGAGCATTCCAGGAAGAAGGAATAGCATGTGCAAGACCTGATGTGTGTAGGTACAATGTTGCAACGCCCATTCCTAAAATCCACCTGTGATCTTGGGTTCAAAGTGACTTTCACATTCACATGACAATAGTCCATAACCTAGCACCTTTCATTTGTGTTAGAATACAGCCCAGAAAACAGTGTATCAAATAAAGCATATCTTCAACTGGAGTCCCTATAGGAGTCCTGACCTTGATGTCTTCAGCCCCCCAAAAAGATGCACTCAGTTTAAGAGATCACCTTATGCAGAGCACACCAGCATAAGGAAGCCTCATCCACACAGACAATGTCTTTTTTAAAAATATGTGTTTATTGTTTTTTAAAGAGAAAGGAAGGGATAAAAGCATCAATGTGAGAAACATCAATCGGCTGCCGCCTCCTGCATGCCGCCTACTGGGGATCGAGCTTGAAACCTAGGCAAGTGCCCTGACTGGGAATCAAACTGAGACCTCAGTCCATGGGACGGAGCTCAATTCACTGAGCTCCACTGGCCGGGCAACACAGAACCACGTCTTTCTATAGCCTGTGGGCAAAGTTTCCAGATTTTCACAAGGACAAGCCCAGTTACAAGAGACTACAGAGGGAAACAGGGGCCTATGTTTTCCAGCAGGTTTTTAAACAATCTGGTCAAACAGGCCTTCCGAGCATGCATGTCCACTCACAGTTCTCCAGTCCAGACACAGCCAACAATCAAAGGTCTTTTTTGCCATTCAAAAAAATGTTGAATACAGGTGACATTTCACATTTATTTTAGCTCAGTACATTCCCAAAGAAACAATATTGAAAGAAAGAAATCCCAAGATAATTTCCTATGAATAAAAGGCTTAAGCTTGGTGTTAAGCCAAAAGTAATTGAAGTGTAAATTAATAATTTATATGACTAAAAAGTAGGTGACAGTGCAAAGATGAGGATAGAATAAAGATTGAAACCAGATTAGAAAACACTCTGTATGACAAGTCAAGTCCTATTTTCCCCTTAACAAAAAAGAAAAGCTGATTTGCCCTGGTTGGTGTGGCTCAGTGGCTGGAGCCTCAGCCTGTGCACTGAAGGGTCACCGGTTTGATTCTCAGTCAAGAGCACCTACCTGGGTTGTAGGTTCGGTCCTTGGCCCCCGTCAAGACATGTGTAGGTGGCAACCAATCAGTGTGTCTCTCTCACATCGATATTTCTGTCACATCAACGTTCCTCCCTTGCTCTCTCTCCACCCCACCCTCCCTTCCTTCCTTTCACTCTCTCTAAGAAAATCAATGAAAAAACTATCCTTGGGTGAGGATTAACAAAACAAAACAAAAAAGCTGATTTAATAAATTCATTTTAATAAACTTTTGTAAGTTGGTTGGATATGACTATTTTAAAAAGCTATCTTTTTATTTTAATCCCAAGAGTTGAGAATTAAAAGTAGTATTTTCTTCTTTAGGAAGGCTTTCCCTGTCCAACAACCCTCTTACTACTCTCCACATCTCAGGAGCTTGTGTACACACACACACGGCTGAACTCCCTCTTATGCTCCCAAAGAAACTCTGATGGTTTTTACCAGAGAATATTAAGACTGTTCATATGTCCACTTCTCCTGTTAAACTATAAAGGATTCAGAAATAAGATCTGTCATTCATTTTATTGGACCTAGAAAATTGCTAAATGTTCCCTGAACTGACAAATTAACTGTATTCTTGTTAAAACAGAAAGAAAACTAATCTAAGCATCAGTTACATGATAGAGACTGGCCACTGTACAATTCAAAATTTATTTCTAAGACTGGCACACAATTCTTTAAAAAATTACACCTCAATTTAATGAATTGGAAATATGTTTAATATAAAATGTTGATATTTTCAAAGCATTTCCACATGAATTTAGGAAAATGAATTTTAAACAATCTTCAAAACATGATAAAAGACAGTGGTATCTCTGAAAAACATACAAACAAAAAAAGTTAAGAAGTCACAAGATGATGTATTATATACTTGCTTTCCCAAAATTAGATGTACAAAACAATAGTCACCTAAAAAAGTCCCCTCCCACACACACACACACAAATTGGGAATGAAACATGTAATTATAAGCATCTTTATAGGAAACCTCCAAAAGACAAATATCTTTAACAATAAAAGATGGTGACGAGATTAACAAAAGCTAAAGAACACTGAGGCTTAACTGACAATATCAATTCACATGATTCTAAAATAAAATGTTCCTACTTTTAGCTTTATCTGAAATTGCCTTTGCTTCACTGCTTTATATACAGTTACCATGTAAATCCAAGCGACGCTTAAAACACAAGATTAAAATATTTTTAAAAAAAAAAACATTTTTCTTATCTGAGAAAATACATTATAATTGTCCCCTCAAAATATTCCTGATACCATTAGGAGGTTGTGAAGTATTTATATAATACCACCCTCAGCACATGAATTCATAACTGTTACCTGAACATTTAATAAAAAAGTAAGCTCCATGGGGATTATAGGTCTCTAAAAAGTACAATTCAAAAATATAAAAGCAATGAGAGCAATCTGGCTTTGCAGATGAATACTGGGTAACAGAGCTATAAAAATTATATATTTAGTTCTACAATAAATAAGACTTTGAGGGTATTTTTAATTAAATTATAAGGACACCAATTTTATCTTACATAAATTGTGTACATATATTCTGGGACAATGGAGAAGTCAGTATATAGCTATAATTCAAATAAACTATGTTGGGTAACATATATCATTTTTTAAAACCTATTTTGTATAGCTAACTTTTTTTGTTCCAAATTTCACCCTGAATGAATGAATTCAATTCCCAGATCCTCACATATTACATCAAAAAAAAGGAAAAAAAATTACAGCAGAGTAATGGTTTCATTTAGCAATTGAGAAAAATAAGCTGCGCTTTGAAAGACTGATTTTTTATCATCTTGCTATCATTTGTCTTCTTTTACACTATACAGAAGGAATGCCATAAATGGCATTTTCTGAAGCCTTAATACTAAATTCTTTAAAAAGAAAAATACACAGTATTCATACTGCATGCTTGAGCTGCAAAGAATAGAATTACAATATAATGTGACTTGTCAACAAATTTGACAGTCACTGGGGCTGGCATCAGGGAGGACCTAACTCCCCTCAACTCCCGCTATGTGGAAGTACAGATCACATAGTTTTATTACCTACAAAAACATTCCCACATTACATATGCTATTGCATAATCCAAGCATTTTAAATCAGAAAAATATCAAATATTTATGAAATTTTAATTTCTATCTAATAAGATTATGTATATCACACCCATTTCCACTCCATCTATGAGATCTCAACAATTCTAATAATACACCTTATATATTTTAAATAATGTTCAATGACACACACTACTGCAAGCTGTCTTCTCTGTGAGCTGTCTAACACAAATGCTGGTAAGCAGCTTCCCAGTAATCGTGTAGACCATCTGTGTCATCTTTGTACAGATTAACTAGCTACTGCTGCCCTTCTGTTGCTGTAAATGAAGTTTCAAAATGAGCTCTCGAATATCCTCCCGTTTGGTCTTTATTACATGACGAGGAAACCATTTCTCCAAATGAATTGGAAGTTCAAAGTTAACAATGGGATCCTAAAGAGATAAAAGAAAGAACACAATAACGTCAGCGGTATAATTCAAATTTGTTTGAGTTTCATTTTTACAAGAAATGAGAAATTGCCAACTTTATATAAATAAGAGCTTTACTGAGATACCATTCAGATATAATAAAATTCACCTAAAATATTCAATTGAATGGTTTTCAGTACATTCAGAGTTGTGCAACCATGACCACAATCAACTTTAGAGCATTTTCATTAAATTGCTAACTTTTGAACATCAAAATTAAATCCTGTTTGTTTAAATGAATAATTCAAAGCAGAATTAGTAAAGAGAAAATGGTTCAGCACAATGCAGAAGTCAGGTTGGTTTGAACACAGTTTTTTCCAACATGTTAATATTCTGAAATAATTAAAACAAATAGAAAGCCTGAGCAGTAAATGAAGAATCTCAAATTAAAAAAAACAAAAACAAGCATATAAAATCCTACAGAAGTACCTTTTTATAGTGCAACAAATGGCCAATCTAATGGCTATATTTTCCATTATGTTAAGTTTAACCAAGAAGTTGCAAGTTACAACTGCAAAGACTTTCCTCTGTGTTTAAAAAAAATAAATAACAGCTGAAGACGGCTACCCCTAGATCATGTTTATAAATCTGACGAACCTATTAAAGGCCAGATGTAAGAAGGACTTACATCTTGAAGAAGAAATTAAGAATCTCAGGGTATAATGCTGAAAGAATGAACTGACTATGATTCTCAGGGCAAATGTCAGCAGAGATTTAACTATAGAATTATTTTTATTAAAATTAATATTGTTTTTGTTAGGGTTTAGTTACAAGTTCCACAGGTTTTGAGTGGTCCATCCCAAACCTATTATTTTCCCACCAAAGCTCAGTTAAATTAGATTACAGATTTTACAAATCTGTAAAACACAAGGTTTAGTTTTTTTAGTTTTTCCCCCAGAAATCTTAAATGGTGCTACAACCTATATTAGAAGTATATTCTCCTGACTGAGGATATACAAAGTAGAATTATGTAACAATATCAGAATATGTTATGTGACAAGGCACTTTGAATATTCTAAATATAAACCAAATCTCTTTGGAAAGAGTATTAGAAAACCAGAATTGTCTCCCTTTAAGAAGTTCCAATGTGAAAAATATATATATATTCTATGACTTTCATAACGTATACCATATTCTGTTACATATTATCATTCTTCTCCAATTATAACAAAAGTTGTAACTGCACCTTATGATCCGTACACTTTGAAAGAAACTTTAAAGGATTTTCCAAGCCAGTATAAATACCATGTTCAATATACCAATAACACTGGTAATGACTGAAGTAATAAGCTGACAGCTCAAAAAGCAGAGTGATTCTTTGCTATTTAAAATTTCTCCTTTAATAGTGCTACAGTTTCTATACAGTCTCTGATGAGCTAGAAAATAACACCCATGCTTGCATTGTACTTAACTAGTTTATGATTTTCTGAGCTACTTGAATACATGAATCCAGTTCTGAAATTCCTTTGAATTTCCATCTGCCTTACTACTCTCTGCACACACTCCCTGTCCCCATGTAATCATTCTGGAACTCCAATTATATGCAAATTAGACTTTTTGACTGTATTACACTTGTCTCTTGCTCTGTTCTTTTCTTTACATTCTCTTTTCTCTCTGAGCCAACTGGATACTTTCTTTATATTGTCTTTTTTTGAAGTTCACTAATTGTGTCTTCTACTGTGTCCAGTCTGCTATTAAACCTATACAATAAATTCTTAATTTCAGATATATCATTATACATTTTCAACTCTAGAATGATCACTTGATTTTTTAATAGATTTTATCTCTTCATTATTTTGTTCATTTTTGACTATTTTCTCTAACATATTAATCAAATCATTTCTAAGTTCTTATCTGCTAACTCCAATATCTAAATTATCTGTGATTCCATTTCTTTTCTTTTCTTTCTTGGTTACCTATAACATTTGCTGCTTCTTTGCTTGCCCAGTAATTTGTGATTGTATATTGGTAACTGTGAATAAGAAACTTATTTACATCTTTACATACCTTAAAGAAACTTTCCACATATTGCAGTAAATATACTCCACAATCACTGCTATTATCTTGTTTAGGAACTTTAGGGCATAGGTCCACCATGTTTGTTTTGCTGAATTCACGATGAGTTTTTCGTTTAACTTCCCACTCTACCTCTAAATACCTTAAATCATCAAAAAGTACAATGACTTGAATAGAAATCTCTTTACTATTTTGCAACACTTTCACAATAGTGTAAAAACATTTGCTTCCAGATATGCTGGCTCAGGCCAAATTCCCAAAGACTGAACTTTAACAGTAGGAATTATAATATGTACTGGCATAAGACAGGAATGCCCCAACTCAAAAGAGCCACATGTGAAAAAAGGCAAGAAAACATATGGTCATCCCAGCAGGGGGTCTCATACTCTCGCAGAGAGTGCACCCAGGCTTCAAAAGTCCTACTTTTAAGAAAATCATCTTAGTTTCAAACTAAAATCTAGACCTTTTTCAACAACTCAACTTCCACAACTCAAAAACATAAAATCGTTTATATCACAAGGTAAACCAATTATTTAAAAACTTTAGCTGCTAGTTTTGTGAGATCCTTAAATTATAAAATTACACAAACACACATATACAAACATAAGAATGGGTTACTTTTTTAAGTATTACTTTTGATAACCATTTAACATTTGCACTGCTCCTTTGTAAAATTATGCTTTTGTTCAATTACGAAAACAAATTCTGAATTTACTTTTGATATAATCCTTGAGAAATAGTAATACTTGAATATTATCACATAATAGGAGATGTTTATTATTGATTTGTAGGCCTTATCTAAATACATAATAAAATGTAATTCTGATATAGTCTTTTAGGGAATTCTTAAGGTAGCTTCAAAATTATTGAGATTTTTAGGTAACAAGCTGAAGGGCAAGTTGTCATTACTTACTCTCGTAAATTCTGAACTGTGTTTTGTATGGAAGCAGCTTTCAAGGAGTCTAGTATGAGAATGCATGGCCTAGAAAGAGCAAAGGAAGAAATCACGATGCACATATTTATATATGAAGTGAACCTAAATATCTAAAACTATTAGTATAGCGTGTACCTACCTTTTACACATTTTCTTTGGTATTGACATATTCGTCTCAGTACTCTGAAATAACATGAATTTTTATGAATTTACAATTAAAGTTAGCTTGAATAAATTAATATTTAATTGTCTGAAACTCTAAAATGTTTCAAACAATTTTGAAATTAAAATTTCAATTAAGAGTTCTTTTCATTATCCAAAGTGAGCTAATTTCATTCCTCAAACTTCACTGATTAATTTTCTTATACTGGAGAAACAGTAGTTTATATAGTTTTCCATGTGGCCCCAAGAAGTTATGAACATTTAATATGCCCTAAAAACCAACCTGGAACTGTAATTAATTACTTCTATTCAGAGTTATCATCTTCAGCAAAGATAAACAAGTTAATTTATATTCTTACATACACTGTCTACCTCAATAAATAATGTTGCTAGAGATAGATTTCTTCCCTCTGAAGCACAAAAAGCCGAGTATTAATGTATGTTAAAGGAAAAGGGATGGGTTTTATGTTGGTAAATTTGAGAAACAATAGTTAAATTTAAACATTTCTTTAAAGCAGAACTTCTCAGTGTTTTTAATATTCTAGTGTAACAGTGAATCTCTAAGACAGGAATAGCATATAAAATTTACCCAACTTACCTGACTTTAGAATCTCTTTATAATAAAATCATAAACTGCACCTTAGAGCAAATATTCCAAGGAACCCAATTTGGGAAACCTGGCTTAGAAGCAAGAATGAACTCCCCTATCCGGCCAGCAGAAAAAGAAACCACCTTCCTTCTGCCTACCCTACACCAGTGACAGTAAAGACACAGGCCTGTGCCAGGGAGGCTGCTGCTATCTATGCATACCAAAAATTCATTAGATGGCTACCCTAATTAATTAAGACACCAAATCTAGACCATGTATACTAGTTTGAAGAAAAGTCAATGGTAACTATCTTAGTCTCAAAAGTCATGTGGATGACCTTGAGTCTATTTTGAGTCATTTTTATCAACAATTCACAATAGAAAGTAGAATATAAAATATGTTTGCTTGGCTCATTAATTACACTAAATTCAAAAAATTGCTAGCATAAGGAAGAATAAAAGTAAATCTGACCCACCGAAGTTAAAAAAGTAGTCCACTAAGATGATCAGATAAACTACTAAACAAAGAAACCTTGAAAGTTAAAATAATTTAAACAGACAAAAAGTATGATAATTTCTCATGTTCTCTTTTATACCCCCACAAAATCCATCAAAAAATCATAAAGCAGCAACATTTAATTATGGGTCACCAATGTTCCATAGCCACCTAGCTATGCTGTATTTTACAGATTCATGAGTTTTCCTTCCTTCACATCTATAAAGAACACACTTACTTGGGAATCCGCTATACCCAAGGATAGTGCTGAAGCAGTGTGTAGATCATTATCTAGTTAGAAATAACAAAGCAGTTATGAGTCTTTATGCCTAATACAAAGTATTTAGATAAGCTTAAATTCTAATTTGTATGCATGTAGTATTTAAAGGGAAAAAAATACCTGGGATCTATTTAATTTTTTTCATGGTAAATGTTATAAGCAAAATCCAATCAACAGATAAAACTGACAATGGTCAGCTATTATCAGACAATACATAAACCCCAGAGCCAACACCTGAAATACCAGTTAGCTGGGCCAGTCTCTCATAAAGAGACAATCTTCAAAGATGATCACTAATCAAAATGTCTGTTGTTTTAATGTAGAGGAGAATTAATCTGCCTAGTAATGCTTCTTATAATCTATGATCACAGAGTATTGCATAAATATGTTTTTGAAGAAGATGATTATAAAAAATTGAAAAAAATCAGTTGCTTTATCAGATATGCCCCTACTCCCCCAGGTTTTGGTCAGTATTAATGATAATGACGATTAACTCTGCTTGCTGCTTAGGCTACAGCTATAAAATACATAATTTTGATTCTTTTTTCCTTCAAAGAAAGTCAGCTTATTTGCTTGCTTAATTAACATTAGGATTATAATATAAGAAAAACCATGGAAGAATTATAAGATAACTCATATCACCTAGCCAAATTACTAGTGTCAGCAAGAACTGTGTTACTTTATATTAAGAAAAAATGGGGGATTTCCAGCTACGCCTGAAGATTCATGGCATGGATTCTTAGTCCTGTCAGCAAGACTATTCTATAAAAAGTGCTATGATGAAACTTGATATAAAATTACAACTTAAGAATTACATTTTCTTTTTACCGGAGGCTGGGCATCTAACATTAAAATGTCAGATTTCTTATTCTTCTAATAAGTTTAATGATAATAACTATGTTATCTTTTAACACTGTTCCCTATAATCATTCCATTCCACTATTGTCACCATTTTTAAAAACACCATTTACATTAAGTTTATCACCTATTGTTTTGTTATCATGTTGGGACGGCTGAGCCTGGGATTGCTGGGATGTAGTTTGTGGGAAATCTTCATACATAGCTTCTTCTAACCATGGAAAACAAATGACTGCAAGATACCAGTGAGACCTGTTGAAAAGAAATGCAAACTTAATAACACAATACAATCTTTTTTTTAATCCTCACCCGAGGATATTTTTTCATTGATTTTCAGATAGAGTGGGAGGTAGGGAGGGAGAGAGAGAGAGAGAGAGAGAAACATCGATGTGAGAGAGACACACCAATTGGTTGCCTCCTGCAAGACCCCAACCAGGGCCAAGGATTGAACTGTAACCAAGGTATATGCCCTTGACTGGAATCGAACCTGAGACCCTTTGGTCCATGGGTCAATGCTCTAATTGCTGAGCCAAACCAGCCAGGGCCACAATACAACCTTAATAACAAAAAACCTAAACAATGTGAAAGAGTACGTCCTAAAGCTACAGCTAAGCAGGTATGACAAACTTTGTATCAATTTTGGAAGAGTCAATTGTAATATCTGATATAATATGGAGCACACATTCCAAAACTAATTAAGAAGACTACTTAGGATAAAAGCTGAGTAATTCAAACTTATTTACTTTCACATAGTCAGTGTTTTCTATGAGGATCTACTTTAATAGACTCATAGCATCACCTTTTTTTCTATTAGTGTTTAAAGGGCCTATTCTCTTAAATATTTGAAGAGTCATCCTAAAATCTTTCAATCTCTTATTTCAAAAATCTTTTCTTGAGTCCCCCCCCCAAAAAAAAAATTCAATGTCTCGGTCATTACAGTCTTGTGGTCATTTGTCATTTTATTTTTTCACTATATTTACAATATAACAACTGTCAAACCAAAATCCAAGATAAATAGTTCATTGTTTTAGCTAACTCTTTTTTTTCCTTTACTAATTTTTAGAGAGAAAGGAAGGGAGAGGGAGAGAGAGAGAGAAATATCAACAAGAAAGAACATCAACTGGCCACCTCCTGCATACCCCCCCCACTGAGGATTGGGCCCACAACCTGGGCATGTGCGACTGGGAATCAAACCAGCGACCTCTTGGTGCATGGGTCAACACTCAACTACTGAGCCACACCAGCCAGGCAGTTTTAGCTACCTCTTAAAAAAGATTTAAAATAATACCTGGGATTTATGTATCCATACTTTTTACTGCTTATTAATCTAAATATGCCCAAAATACTTTTCTCTGCACTCTCTCCAATTTTGTTTTAAAATAATCTTAAATACTCACGACTCATTTACAGGCACAAAGATGTAATCTTTATTAAAGATGTTTATGTTGCGAGTCCATGTTCTTACCCTTTTATGTCTTCTTTGTGCCATTCTGGGAATACAAAAGATAGATAGATTTGATACATTAAAAAGATAATAATTTAAGATAAGGATTTCAAGAGCCATTTTTATAACTGAAAATTGCTAGGTTTAGTTTACTTAACCATCCTTTTCAAGATATACAATATATATAACACACAAGAAAATTATCTCCTTTTATTAACTCTTGGGTATTCTTAAATCTGATCACTACTTATAAATAATGTAATAGATAGAAGAAAGGCAACAATTTATAAAATGTTTTGTAGATTCCAAAAGTGGCACAACAACTGAATATAAGCAGTTATGCCTATATTTATTCTATTTAATTCCATCTGGGCATGATATAAATTACTATTATTAAACCTAAACAGAATTGTCCAAATGTTATATCTGTAAATAGAAAGGTATTTTAAAACATAATGAAAGAGGAGAAAGGAAGCATATATTCTTAGATTTTTAAAGATGAAACTGATCTCTATTTCATATATAAACTATAAGACAATGAGTTAAGTATAGCCACAATTTATCCATATTTTATTTTATTTCTTCAACAAATATTTACTAGGTTCCTTAGAATAAATAATGAAAATCAGCCACACTGCCCAAAGGAATTTATTTTAAAATGAGGGCAGAAAAGAAAAACACAACAAATAACTAAAATGGAATCGTTACAGCATCTAGGAAAGCCACTTATAAAAGGGTTGAGACACACACACAAAGCAAATAATCGTTTCTTTTCTTTACACCATCAGGGAAGTTAAGGAAGGAAGACATCAGGCCAAGTTTAGATGTCAAAAAATAATTTTCTGGAAAAATATCCTTGGATGAGGATTAAAAAGTAAGTAAATAATAATTTTAGGAAGGGGATGGCATTTAACAGTGGCATAAAGGAGGTGGTATGTGATTTCTGGGTCAGGGATCCATCCCTTGAAGGACCTCTTTTTATGCAGGGAATTAAACTAATCATTAAGTTCTTAAAGATGTATATACCAAGAGATACAAGAACAGACATTTCTGCCCAATCCCTGTTCATCTAACCAACCAAACTCACAGGGGTAGATGGGATCCAGAATGGACTAGAAGGTGTGGTAGGAATTAACACTATGTGGAAGACCAAGTCACATGTTTACTAAATTTTCTTACTTCAGAATGACCCAACCATTGCAAGATTATAAACAATTTTTTTCCACTAGTGCATAGCCTGTTAATTTTCCATTTGAAAATCACAAGGATAGATACCTAGGATTCTGTTTTGTCATGTTGGTGTTTGGTAGATTTCCTGATTATGCTAACTTTATTTGATTGGGGATATATTACACATAGGATGGGGCAAGGAGGCTAGGAGAGAATATGGGAGCCACAATTTAATCTTTTTCTCAGTTTCTAACTGTATAGAAAATCCTCAATTAAATGTCTAACAGTTCTCCCCATTCAATAATATACATTATTATTTATGTTCTTCAAGTTCCTAGTATGTTCCCAGCACTGGGCAAAAGGCACTAGAGATAGAGTAGAAAATATGACAGATGAAGTCCCTGATTCCATGGGTCTTATACTCTAGGATGAGAAACTGCCAGAATTACTGCCCAAGGCAGAAGGTAAAGAAGACATAACCTAGCTTTTCCTTTCCTTACTTTCCAAATTCCAATGTTCCCCACAGGTCATGCCATTGGAAATGCAGCCTGCAAGAGTCAGCCTCCTTATGACAGGGAGCAGTGCCATGGAAGGGTGACAAACGTCTCACAGAGCAAACAGACCCAGGACCTATGCAAGTGGTGATACTGCTCACTCTAAAGAATTATATACGAAGTTAGAATTTCATGAGGAACGTCAAAATGGTATATTTGCCTCTCAAAACTTAAGAACATTGGAAGATTGACTTACGAAAGATTTGGATTATCTTCTGTTAAGTTATTTTCCTTTCTCGTCAAGCATTTATAGAAAAAGCTACTAAAAATGTGACTTCGTTCAACAAGTTCACTTGATGCCTTCTCCAATATAAGATACCTGGTAAAGTAGCAATACCACAAAAATAAGTTATTTTTTATTTTACCTGGTCTTCCCCCAATTAGCTTATGTGTTCTGGGAATCTTCATTTTTATATACAATTAGATTCAAAGCAATCTTGCAATTTGCTCTGATTTCAGTTCTTTTTGTTCTTTGGTTATCTCACCTGTATCAAGACTGTTTAAAGCAGAAATTGCCCACTTACTCATTTATTTACTTAACAAATATTTATCAAATTCCTAACATGTTTCGAGCACCATATTTACACTACAGACAGAAAGGGAGGGAAAAAAATGTACCTTTCTCATAGAGTTTATAGTCCAGAGGAATGAGGGTAGACGAAAATCTTTACCAAATAATCACACAATCAAATATAAAACTAAAACTAATATTCCTATATAAATCTAGAAAAATCTTAACTCTGAGACATGACTAATCTCTAAATTCTTATTCTATTTTTATACTAAAAATTCTTCAACATAGGATTATAATTCAATCATTTAATAATTAAAGCCTTCATGATTATAGAACTCTACTGTTCTTAATGTTCAAAAATGACGTTATAATTGCTTTTTTGAAAAGCATAAAAGAGAAAGACAACGTGAAGTTTATTTTATAAAGTGATTATAAGGTCAATATACTACATGGAAGAAGATACAAAGAATGCTTGATCTAAATTATGATTACATGGGTGAATACATATGTGAACGTTCATTAGCTGTACACTACTACTTGAAAGTTATTCATCAATTTAAAAAATAAATAGAAAGTAGCTTTAAAAACAAGGTTAAAATCCCCTCTGAAAATAAGGGTCAGAGATATAGGCAGCTCTGTTAAAAGGAAGTATGAAAAATACTATTAGAACTGCATTAAAAATAAAATTTTACCAGTTAATTCCAATAAAACATTAAAGTTAATACAGAAAATGATCTAATTCATCTCACAAAATATAAATTTGATACTATCATAGGGATACAAAAATAAGATTCAAGATGCCTAACCTTAGAGGGAGAGTGATCATCAAACCACCAAATAACTTTAAAATAAGGCAAAATATAAGTACCATAAAAGAGATGCAAATGAAGTTTTATGGGAGTTAATAATATCTGCTTAGATCAGCAAAAGTTTCACAAAGGTATGGCTTGAGAGGAACCTTGAAAGAGGAATAAAATTTTAATGAGAGATAAAAAGGTCAGAATTCCAGCAAGCAGGAAACGGGGCGTTAATACAGAAGAGTGAATATGGTTGGGCTTTGTTTAGCAAAGTATATATAATTCAATTTAGCTGAACTATGTACTATATGCAGATGGCTAAAAAGACAGACTGGTGTCAGATTACCAAGAACCTCAAATGCCAGACTGTGTTTGAACTCATTTTGACAGGTAATAAGACATTATTACTAAGTTTCTAAGAATTTCTTTCTTAGAGCATTTTAAGACAAATAATGGTTGTAAAAATATACTCAATGGACAGCACAACAGAAACAAAAGATACAAGGAGACTACTTAAAAAGATAGAAAGACAGCCCTGGCCGGTTTGGCTCAGCGGTTGGAGCGTCCGCCTGCGGTCCGGAGAGACCCGGGTTCGGTTCCCGCTAAGGGCATGTTCCTCGGTTGCAGTTTGTCCCCAGCCCTGGTTGGTCGTGCGGGTGGCAGCCACTCGATGTGTCCCTTTCACATCGATGTTTCCCTCTCTCTCTCTTCCTCTCTCTCCCTCCCACTGTATCTGTACAAAAAATAGAAAAGTGTCCTCGGGTGAGGATAAAAAAAAAAAAAAAAAAAAAGATAGATAGAAAGACAATTTAGGTGAGATAAGGAAAAATCATGATGACAAAAGAGATTAAATGAATTTGAGAGACAGAATCTACTAAAATTGGCAACTGAATATGTAGAGAGCAAAGGAAGGGTGAAGAACCCATGACAATGGAGACTTTCACTCCCAGCCTAGATGGACCCAATTTACTCTCCTGCTTAAAACAAACAAACAAAAAAATCAAACAAAATATATAAAATGATCTTTTTCAAAACCCTGGACATCTGGCAACAAAGAACAGTGATCCTTGAGAAAAGTGAAACAAAGCAAGTAAGTTCCACTAATGCCCCAGCTTACTGCCTTGCTAGTTTCCAAGCTGCAGCACAAGAAGGAGTAACGCACTGAAGCCTGGCAGACTCCCTGAGTTGAAGAGATAATGAGAATCAGGAGAGACCAAGGCAGCTAGAGTTCACAGATCTCAATACTGGAAAGATAAGAACTGTATGCATAAAGAACTCCAAACATCTTCAGAAAGTCCTCCTCAAGTAATCAGCAGAATGTTGATCATTGTACAGGTATAAGGAAAATACTCAAGGTTGGAAAAAGAACTTCCTGAAAGGATTACATAGAATGGTATCCAGCATTTCCATAGGCCATGGGAATATACCCTTTTTCCTATCAGCCAGGCTTAAAAACCACATGATTCTGAGGCGTTGGGTAGAACACTTAAAAAGGTTTTTCATCAAAGGTGGTGATTAATTTGTTGGTCTCAGCTAACAAATCATAAAAATCATGACCCTTAAGAGCATCAAATTGCTTTTAAATAATCTGTGTTCCAGAACAAAATTCAAGAATATTTGTAGAAATACAAAAATACTCAGCACCCAATAAAAAATCAGCAGACATGCAAAGAAGCAAAAAAAAAAAACCACTCACAATGAAGAGAAAAACTGACACAGAATAACTAGAAAAGGACACTGAAACAGTTATTATAACTAAATAAAGACATGGAAGATATATTTTTAAAAAGACCCAAATTAAACTTCTAGAGATTAAATCCACAATGTCAAGGATAAAGAGTAAATAAATGATACTGTAAGATTTGAGGCCTGAGTGACTGGAAAATTACTAGATTATCAGTAAAACAATAGGGCTAAGGTAACATGATAATAAATTTAGTTTGAGAGAGATCAACAAAATAATTAGAGACATCTCGAAGAAATGCTGGAAATATAAGTCTAGGGATACAGTATAAAATGAAGGCTACAAACCAATTACCTTTGCATGAAAGTTGATAAAACTTTCCTATCTACTCCTTCAGCTTGGCTATACAAAAATTTGAAAACTATTTTTTAATAGAATAATTATATGAATTTTAAAAATAACTGTTAACTCTTATTGTGCTTAAAGATACAATAGATAACTATACACACTTGCTTCTCATTTAGTTCCCAAAGTGATTTGTAATTATGTCAGTACTTGCTTCACCACAATAATAGTCAAAGAAGAATAAATCAAAAACTAAAACAAACAAAAAGCAGTAGCTCTTCTGAAGTATATAGTGTCCATCAGAAGTAAAGGAATGAAACCAAATTAGTCAACTCTAGAAAACCTTGATACGCAAAAATTTTTTAAATCTGATATCTTGTCGGGCCGGTGTGGCTCAGTGGTTGACCAACAGGTCACACCACCAACAGCTGCACCAACAGGTCGCCAGTCAGGACACATGCCCAGGTTGTGGGCCCGACCCCCAATAGGGGGCATGCAGGAGGCGGCCAATCAATGTTCTCTCTCAATATTTCTATCTTTCTGTCCCTCTCCCTCTCCCTTGCTCTCTCTCTAAAATCAATAAAGAAAATGTATATATATATTTTTAAATCTGGTATCTTGGCAGGTTGCATTCATCTATAGTTAAATACTTCAGATATAAAAACATTTACTTTAAGATTCACATCAAAACCTGTACAACAAATGAGAAGATCATTTAGCATCGTACTTACTTAAGGTAGAAGTCAATAATTACATCATTAAGAAATTCCCCTTCTTCTAAGCATTCCAGATCTTCATTAGTTACCCCTAATCCCCCTTTAGTAGGTGGTGGAGGATATACAATCAACCTTAAAAAGTAAAAATAAAGTATATTGGTATTGAAAATTCTAGTATTAAAACATTTTTATTATATGGTACAATAACAGGGCAGTAATATTTAATAACTAAAATATGTAGAGTAAAAAATTTTGACAGGACACAAGCAATTATATTTTCCTTCCTTTATTTTCATATGCTACTTATAGTAGTCTCATTGAGTATCTTTTCATTTCCAATCCTTCTCATGTGGGCTGGTCTCAATATATGTTAAATCAGTAGGTTACTTCTCACAATCCATTAAATACCATTGAGGATGTCTTTCTTCTGCATAATTTTTAACTTTCAATAAATTGATGTACCATACAAACCAACAAACCATAGAAGATTTTCCTATGCTCTACTTTCCAACTCTAAGTGAATCCCTATTCAGATTCCTAGTTCCTTTCAATTCAGAAGAGCCAAAAGTCAAAAATGCTCTGCCGGTGGCTAGTCTAAAACTACATCTGGGTAATACAGAAATAACATGGGAGCTTTAGGAGGCAAGTTTCCCTTAATAAAGTGCTTACAATGTAAAACTTAAGAGAACATAAGGGAAATAAATAGAGTACATCCAAAAAGTAGTAGAAAAAAAGATGACAACTAGTTAAGCATCTTTCTTCTGGCACCCTCTCCTGAAATTCATAAATAAGAACAGTTGTGAACTCCTGGATATAATCTTGAAATAGACAGGGTGAGACTCATTGCACAAATGTAGGCAATAGTAAAAGTATAATATGAACTTCTAACAGTCATCTTCAATTGAATTAATCTTGATACCCACAGCACGTACATGTGAACATGTGAAAATTTTAAATGCTAATATTATAACTTCTATTTTATTGGCTATTTTCCTATCCTTTCATGTTTGTGTGTGTGTGTGTGTGTGGTTTTCCCCTAAAACACAGAAAACACATAGAGGAATAAAATCACCCTCAAATGCACAGTCTCCCGATTCTATCTTCCCACCATAATAAAATATATAAAAGATGAAAAGAAAAAATTTCTAAAAGGAAGGTCTGATAAACTCCAAAGTACCTTAAATTGAGGCACACTCTAGTAAATAATTTCATTTTCCTATTATATATTCAGATATAAATATATAATCTTAAAAGGCATACAGTGCTATTCAAATATTTTCAATAAATGCTTTAATCTTACCAAATTTGAGAGTTTGGCTGCTATTTCTGTCTTATTAACATAAAACTAAATTAAATGGCACCAATTGTTTTCTTAATAAAATTTTTTAAACTTTCTCATAAATTTTTTAAAAACATTATTTTTATTAGTAGCCATCAGCATAAAAGTAAAACTCAAAATATTTAAAAAGATAAGCTACTTAAAATAAGCAACATGAATGAAAACGACTGGTGTGCCCACCTATTACAAATGGGACATGACACAGTACATACTTCTGAACAGGTCCAGTGTGCCTGACTTCTCGCCATTCTTCATCTGGGTTAGATGTAATAGAAAGTGAGTAGCAACCACTACTTTGCTTCTGCAGGAAGGTGTAATTAGGTTTGGCTGTATCTATATTTGAGGGCTGACAGAAAATGGCAAAAAAAAAAAAAAAAAGTCTCCTTATAGATACATAAATATGTATTAACTCTCAAAAGAACAGTCAAAATCTAGACTTGTAAGAAAAAAATGTAACTAAAAGAAATCCAAATTAATGAGTTATATCTATATTTTTCAAATTTCCACAAAGATATAAATATCAAAATAATACTTTGATCAAAAGATATTGTACATACAATAGTCAAAGTTTTGATACCGTTACAATTAGCTAGTTATTAATAATTGAAAAGGAGCAAAGGGAAGGCCAGACATTATAGGCATGTCATTTGGGCAGCTTCACCAGGAAGCTGCAATTTCACACTCCCCAGGGAACCCCTGGCCCATTCTATGCAGGTTACTGGGGGAAGAGGTCCAACAAAGGGGAGATACATGCATATGCAGGAAAGTTGGGGTGAGTAGGAAGGGCCTGTCAGTCACACCTGGGAACAGAGATCATTAGCCAGAATGGATGTGGCCACTGCAAACCCATGAAAATCTGCGAATACATAATCCCCTAAACAAAGGAATTCTCTCTCTTGGCTCTTGGCTCACGGGGCTCTCATTCCTACTTCCTTGCATTCATTCGCCCATGTTTCCTCCATAGCCATGTGGCCCTGTGGACCCCACATGCAATGGACTGATAGACTGCAGTGGGGAACACAAGCTAAGCTAGCCTGATGCTGGATTGAAAACTGCTCCAATGTGGAACAGAAACTCTGGACTCTCACTCTAGCCCTATTGAAGCCACAGCTACATTTCTTCCCTGGTGGGAAAAGGGGAAATGGGATCTTGGAAACTCCGAGATATAATTCCACAGAAATAAAAATCACTCATTCTCCTGTGCAAGTCTCATTCATTTTCTTGGGAATTATATTCCCAGAAGCAACAGGTAGGAATATAAAATACGTAATCTTTTTTTTTTTTTTTTTATCCTCACCCGAGAATATTTTTCCATTTTTTGTACAGATAGAGTGGGAGGGAGAGAGAGGAAGGGAGAGAGAGAGAAACATCGACGTGAAGGGACACATCGAGCGGCTGCCACCCGCACGACCAACCAGGGCCGGGGACAAACTGCAACCGAGGTACGTGCCCTTAGCGGGAACCGAACCCGGGTCTCTCCGGACCGCAGGCTGACGCTCTAACCGCTGAGCCAAACTGGCCAGGGCAAAAATACGTAATCTTAAAAATCATACATTGCTATGATATATTGGTAACAATTTCACTTAAAGTGTTATTTACAGATCTGGGCTTTATAATTAAAGGAGAATCTGAAAACTGCAGTTCAAATGAAATTACCATGCAAAAATTTCACAACACATACATAAAGAATGATAGTGGTAGTCTCATGCCTTATTCCTAACATTGCTTCTTGCAAGCTTTTTAAGTAACAGATTAGCCCCAGATCAAACTGTCATGTGTGTGCTTGTACATGCGCATCCATGCACTACAGCAAATTAATGAACACTTCTGTCTAGAAGTATTCAGCAGATATACACAAGCCACATGTATATTACCAATGTCCTATTTTTTTAAAAAGACATACTTAAACTTACTATAAATTGTTTCAAGATAATTTTTCTTATAGAACAGTTGCAAAAAAACAAACAAGCCTCTTCCAGATTCCAGTAATATTAATATCTTATCTAACCATAGAATAATTGTCAAAACTAAGAAATTAACCTTAGTATAATATTATAAACTAAACTACAGATTTTATTCTGATTTCACTGGCTTTTCCACTATCTTTTTTTCTGTTTCAGGACCCTACAATGCTTGTCTTTTCTTGTCTTTCATAACCTTAATATTTTTAAAGAGTATCAATCAGTTATTCTGTAACTAGGTTTTTCTGATTTTTCTCATGGTTAGACTCAGTTTATGCAATATTGGGAAGAACACCACAGAAGTGAGGTACCCTTCTCAGTGCATGATATGACAGGTGCATTATGTCAAAATGTCCTGTTACTGGTGGTATTAACTTGGATCACTTGGGTTAAGGTGATGTCTGCCAGGATTCTCCACTGCTACTTCTTTTTGTAATTAATAACTATATTGGGGAACAGATTTTGAAATTATGCACATATCCTGTTTCTCCTTAAGTTTTCACCCATTAAATTTGGCATCTCTTGGTGGACCTTGCCTGCAATAATCATAACTATGGTTTTTCTTTTTTTTTCTCTTTTTGGTGGTATGTGCCCCTAGCAGGAACCAAACCCAGGACTCTGGCCCGCAGGCTGATGCTCAACCGCTGAGCCAAACTGGCCAGGGCTTAACTATGGTTTCTCTAATGGTGCTTTTATATTTCTATTCTTTTTATATTTATTAATTGGAATACTTTTCTAAAAAAGAACTGTCCTTTATCCATCATTTACTGTTTATTTATTCATCCATTAATTCAGTTATTTATCTATATCAATATAGATTTTGGGATATTCATTTTATTCTTGGTTAATAATCACACTATCATTATTGATTTTGCTGATTAAACTGTTCTAGCATTGGTACTGGGAGTTCTTTCAGGTTGGCCATTGAGCCTTTTAGACAAAACAGCATTTTTTGCCCTGGCCAGTGTGGCTTAGTTGGTTAGACCATCATCCCATAACAAAAAGGCTTCAGGTTGGATCCCTGGTCAGGGCACAAACCCAGGTTGCATGTTTGATCCCTGCCTGGGTGCATATGGGAGGCAACTGATCGATGTTTCTCTCTCTTTCTCTCCCTTCCTCGCTCTCTAAAATCAACATTTTTTTGTAAAAACCAGCATTTTGAAATCAGCCTAATTTCAATGAAAGTATTTTTACCAAACTTTTTCCCTTCCCCTCACCAATTACATTAATCACATGCTAACCTGAGATACTGATTTCATCTTCATTTCTTCAGCAGCAGCAGCAGGAATTGAACAAGTTGAAGCACAGTAATAATGAATAAAAGAACTTTCTTTTGAAGAGAGGTTCTGAAATAAAGGAAGTGCCTGAACCCAAGACAATGAATAAGAAAGCTCTGATTCTCCAGTGGTTGTACTTATTTCTGTCATAATATCTTTCAATTTCAATTCTTCTCTTTGTGAAATAGGATTGTGTAGCTCAAGGAAAATGAATTCACTAGATTTTGCTATTAAAAAAAAAACAAAACAATTTTTATCAATATTATTATTTTTCAAGGGTATTATAATTAACTTGATTATTAATAATAGTAAGGTTGGTATATAAGTACTAGCAAAGTAAAAACCAGGCAAATTAAATCACAAAACAGGCCGATAGTAACCTAAAACAAAAATTCACAATTTTTAGACTCCTGCTACATTAGAATGAAAATTCCTCAATGGTACTGACCTCTGTACTTCCAAGACCTGGCATTTAGTAGGTGCTAGTAAATATTTGTTACTGAATATTTGAATAAATGAATGAATGATAACTAAGCAATTAATTATTTCTTTCTACCCTCCTCCATATATCAAATCTATTAATTTAAAAAAATCCCGATCAAACACTTCCTTCAATATCATTTTCTTTAATCATTTCAACAGTGGTCTCAAATGACATTCTTTTCCCCCACTATAAATGGCTGATTTTATTTCTCCAACTTCTCTGCTATGTAATCACAAATTTTCCCAATTAGTTATGATAGCAAAATAATTTACTATATATATAATGATATATATATATATATATATATATATATATATATATATAATGGGAGCATACAAAAAAATACTCAACCCACTCCTAGAGAAAATATATATAACTAAAGTGAGTTTCTCTTTTAGAAATTAAAGAAAATGTTGAAAATAAAGACTTCTGTGTTTTATTTAACTTTGCCACAGTTCATTATAAGGACCAGAAACTCCTAAGAAAGGTGGCCAAGAATGGTAAATGACTAACACATAAGTTATTCCATTTATTTTAGGAAATAATGTCATTTGGTTGAACAAAAGTATCAGGAGAAATTATGTGAATAAATAAAATAATTTATCTTACATTATATTAAATTTTTTAATTCAATGAAATTACATTCTATTAATTTATTTTAGAAGAAAACTACTTTATTTACAGGACTTCTCAAGTTATCCTGAAATTTAGAAGTTATTTTATACTCACATTGCTGGCTTAACACAGAGTTTTCTAACTGGGTCTGAATCTCCTGAAGATATTGTGAAGAGACCCAGAGGAAAAGGACAGCATGACTCCTTTTACTGTGCTCATCATCCTTACTTTTCCATAACCCATATCTCTTTAAATGTGTGGTATCCACTAACAATAAAACCTCATTCAGGGACACTAAAACAAACAAAATATAACAAATTAATAAATTAATTTAGAAATACAACACTAATGCACTAACTGTAATATACTATATTTTCAAAAAGAATTATCTGCCATTTTTTTCAAAAATATAATTTCCAGCACACTTCACTAAACTTAGCTGAAATACCCCAAACGATATTATTAGAGTAAAATAGATCACATTACAATTAGAAGGGGCCAAATAATTATTGAATAATTAAACATGGCAACTTAGTCTCTCACACTATATAATCTCCGTTACATCCAGGAATGGAAAATATAAAATTAAATTTTCATAGCATAAAAACCTTGTCCAGAGAGATTTCTTTCTTTTTTTTTTCTTTATCCTTACCAAAGAACATTTTTCCATTTTTTGTTCAGATAGAGTGGGAGGGAGAGAGAGGAAGGGATAGACAGAGAGAAACATCGACGTGAAAGGGACACATCAAGTGGCTGCTACCCACACAAACAACCAGGGCCGGAGACAAACGAGGTACATGCCCTTAGCGGGAACCAAACCCGGGTCTCTCTGGACTACAGGTCGACTCTCCAACCACTGAGCCAAACTGGCCAGGGCTTCTTTTTTTTTTTTATCCTCAACCAAGGACATTTTTCCATTTTTGTTCAGGTAGAGTGGGAGGGAGAGAGGGAACAGAGAGAGAGAGAGGAACAAAGAGAGAGAGAGGAACATCAACGTGAAAGGGACACATTGAGTGGCTGCCACCCGCACGACCAACCAGGTCCGGGGACAAACTGCAACCAACGTAGGTACCCTTAGCAGGAACCGAACCCAGGTCTCTCTGGACCACAGGCAGACTCTCTAACCGCTGAGCCAAACCGGCCAGGGCAGAGAGATTTCTTACTAAGAGTTCCAATATCACTATCAAACAGGAAAAAAAAAAAAGACGACGACGACAAGTACCTTACCAATGCAGAAAAGTAAGCATTATATAACTCAGACAATTATGTATTTCTATCTTGGTCAATACTATCAACCAAGCCTCCAAATGCTATCATGAGCCAATTTATGCCTATCTTTCTTCTCCCAAAACATCATTCTACTACATAGATTAGCCACTACCAAAATATTCTCAAGACTAGTATGAGCTTCTGAGTGGTCTAAGGTGATATTTCTTTTAAAATTCTTATAGGTTTTACGTCTCAAATTGTCAAGGTAATCACTCTGAATTATTACTCTTCCTCTTGCTGAGCTAAAAGAGTCTCCTCTGATGACTTTTTTTTTTAACTCAAAGAAGTATATGAAATTGATATAAAGAAGTCCCAAAGTTCATTCAGATCAACTTTAAGAAAACAAGCAACTAAATTAGGAATATAATATCAGCTAAGTTTAAACCCAAGATGGCTACTGACTTGAAACACATTTCTTAGTACTCCTCCCCTCATCTCCTGGCACCTTGCTACTCAAAACATAGTCCTCAGTCTCTGACATTGGCATCACCTGGGAGCCTGTTAGAAATGCAGAAAATCAGGGCCCAACCTAGATCTACTAAATCAGTTTAACAAAATCCCCAGGTGATTCATCTGAACATTAAAGTTTGAAAGCATTTTAGAAGCATTCCAATAATTATTAACTACTTATCTTAATGTTCTTATGCCAGCCACATTTTTTTTTTTTGCTTTTTCTTATAAATTAGCCCATTTTATTTATTTTTTAAAATATGTTTGTATTGATTTTTTAGAGAGAGAGGAAGGGAGAGATGGAAACATCGATCTGAGAGACAATCACTGATCGGCTGCCTCCTGCACGCCCCCTACGGGGTATCTAGCCTGCAACCCGGGCATGTGCCCTGACCAGGAATGGAACTGGACCTCTCAGTCCATGAAATGATGCTCAATCCACTGAGCCACATTGGCTGGGCTAAATTAATCCATTTTAAACATCTCTTTATTTCTTTCATATTTCCTCCTCCTTTCCTTCATTCTTTCCTTCACTTATTCCATTTCTCCATGTCTTTTTTTTGTTCCCTTTCTGTATTTTTATTTATCCTCTGTGCTTGTCTGCATGCATACCAGCCTGCCTTTCCTCTCTTCCTATCCTGTCCTATCCTACCCTATCTCCCCTTTCTTTTACTCTCTATTTACTGGCTCCTTTCAATAAATTATAAATCGATCACCTATCTATGGCTCTGTCTATATTTTATATACCTACTTACCTAACCTTCCTATCTACCTGTATCCATCCATCTTATATTTTACTATAATATTTTAACTAACTTTATAGATTTCTTTCCCCATTGTCCAAAATTGTGCTCAACTTTCTTACTATCTCCTTTTCAAACCCTTGTCACTCATGCTCACATTCTTTCATTTCTTTTATATTTCACTCTTTCCTACATAGACTCATCACTTTATTTAAACTTCTCTTTCTTTCCTCCCACTTCCTCCCTCTGAATCTTTCCCTTTCCTTCTTTCTTTTGTAGCCTTTTTCTATCTTTCCTCACTCCATTTTGTTCCTTGTCCTTTTCTTTCTCTATTCCTAGCCTGCCTGTGCCCTGCATGCCTGGCTGCCTTTTCTTTCTTCTTTCCTTCCTTCCTTATTTCCTTCCTTCCTCCCTCCTTCCCTTCTTCCCTTCCTCCCTCCTTTCCTTCATTCCTTTATCTCTCAATTCCTCTTTCCCGCTTCCATTTCTCTCTCCCTCCCTCCCTCTGTCCCTTCCCTCTTTCCATTCTTTCTATTGGTTCTTCTTTTTATTATTTTTTTTTATTATTCTTTTCCTCTCTATCTCTTTTGTTCTCTTTCTCTTTGCATCTACTTCATACAGTCTTTCATATTGGCTTATATCTTTTAAAATCCATTTTCTCTCTCCTAAACTATCCTTGTTTATTTTACTGTATTTTTTAATACTGACTTCCACTCTTTTCCAGCTTAAGATATAACTGACATATATCACGGTGTGAATTTAGGTATAAAAATGTGTTGATTTGATACTCTTACTTACTGCATTGCAATTACCACCATATGTTAGCTAGCACCTCCATCACATCACATAATTATCACTTCATTTTTGTGGTGAGAACATGTAAAATCTACTCTCTTAGCTACTTTCAAGTATATATATATATAGTATTATTAAATATAATAACCAATCTGTACATTAGACCACCAGAACTTAGTCATCTTATACCTGAGTTTTTACTCCAACATCTCCCTATTTCTCCCAAGACCATCCCCAGCCTCTGTCCTCATAACCACCATTCTAGTTTCTGTGAGTTCAGCTTTATTAGATTTCACATATAAGCAATATTATGCATTATTTGTCTTTCACTGTTTGGCTTCTCTCACTTAGCATAATGCCTTCAAGGTCCATCCATGCTGTCCTGTTTCTCATGGCTGAAAAATATTCCAGTGTGTGTGTGTGCACCACATCTTTACCCATCCACCTGTTGACAGACACCTAGATTGTTTCCATACCTTGGCTACTGTGAATAATGCTGCAAAAACATGGAGTACAGATATCTCTTCAAGATCCTGTTTTCATTTCCTTTGGATGTATAACCAGAAGGATTACTGGATCATATGATAGTTCTATTTTTAATTTTTTGAGGAACCTCCATATTATTTTCCATAGTGGCTGCACCACTTTATATTCCCACCAACAGTGCACAACACTTGTTATTTCTTGTCTTTTATATGACAGCCAATCTAACAGATGTGAGGTGATACCATGTTGTGGTTTTGCTTTGCATTTCCCTGTTGATTAGAGATACTGAACATCTTTTCATGTGCTTATTGATCAATTGAATCTCTTCTCTGGAAAATGTCTATTTCATTCCTCTGCCCATTTTTTAATCAAATTTTTTTTTTTTTTTTTTTTTTATCCTCACCCGAGGACATTTTTCCAATTTTTGTACAGATAGAGTGGGAGGGAGAGAGAGAGAGAGAAACATCAACGTGAAAGGGACACATCGAGTGGCTGCCACCCGCACGACCAACCAGGGCCGGGCACAAACTGCAACCGAAGTACGTGCCCCTAGCGGGAACCGAACCCGGGTCTCTCCGGACCGCAGGCCGACGCTCTAACCGCTGAGCAAAACCGGCCAGGGCTAATCAAATTTTTTTTGTTGTTTTTTTTGGGGGGGGGGGGTTGTTTGTTTTCTATTGAGTTGTATGAGTTCTTTATATATTTTGGATATTAATCCAAAATCAGATATGTGATTTGGAAATATTTTTTCCCATTCTATAGGTTGCCTTTTCATTTTGTTGATTGTTTCCTTTGCTGTGCAGAAGCTTTTTAGTTTGATGTAGCTCCACTTGTTTATTTTTGCTTTTGAGTCTTTTGCTTTTGGTGTCAAATGCAAAAAAAAGCATTGCCAAGATGGATATTAAGGAGCTTACTTCCTATGTTTTCTTCCAGGGGTTTTTTCTGAGGGTTTCAAGTCTTATGTTCAGACTTCAATCCATTTTGAATTGTTTTTTATGTATAGTAAAGGTAGGGGTTCAGTTTCATTCTTTTGGATGTGGCTGTCCAGCTTTCCCAACACCATTTATTGAAGAGACTATCTTTTCCCCAATATATATTCTTGGCTTCTTTGTTAAAAATTCATTGACCAGCCCTGGCTGGTTTGGCTCAGCGGTTAGAGCATCGGCCTGCGGTCCGGAGAGACCCAGGTTCGGTTCCCGCTAAGGGCACGTACCTCAGTTGCAGTTTGTCCCCGGCCCTGGTTGGTCGTGCGGTGGCAGCCACTCGATGTGTCCCTTCACGTCGATGTTTCTCTCTCTGTCTCTTCCTCTCTCTCCCTCCCACTCTATCTGTACAAAAAATGGAAAAATGTCCTCGGATGAGGATAAAAAATAAAAAAAATTCATTGACCATATATGTGTGGGTTTGTTGCTGGACTATCAATTTTGTTCCATCAGTCTGTTTTTATGTCAAGACCATACTGGTTCGATTACTACAGCCCTGTAATATAGTTTGAAATCAGGAAGTATGATGCCCCCAGCTTTGTTCATCTCAGGATTGCTTTGGCTATTT